CGATTATTAAATTAGTCATCGATTATTTTAATAATCGATTAGAAAACGATTAATCGATTATTAAATTAGTCATCGATTATTTTAATAATCGATTAGAAAACGATTAATCGATTATTAAATTAGTCATCGATTATTTTAATAATCGATTAGAAAACGATTAATCGATTATTAAATTAGTCATCGATTATTTTAATAATCGATTAGTCGTCGATTAATCGATTATAAAAATAATTGTTTGTGGCAGCCCTAGTGTATATATAGACTTTATTGAAAATCACAAATAAAAATAATTCCTAAAAAATATTGGGATGCCATTCTGTTTTAACTCATCCATTACAGCAGCATGGCTTCGTAGTAGAGGAGTCTGAGCGCTGAACTGACCTGCCTGCAGTTCAAACCWCTCTTTTTGAAAACTTTTGATGCATCATGAAATAAAAAAGTCTGGCAATAAGTGACCCAGGACTGTTAAAACACTAAAATCTTACATCAGACAAGAAAGGGACAAAATTCCAGTCCAAAAACTGCAGCAGCTGTTCTCTTCAGTTCCTTGATGTTTACAGACTGTTGTTAAAAGAAGAGTTGTTTCACAATGGAAACATAACTGAGTAACTGTACGTTTACTGGAGTGTTAATTGAATACTCTTTGCACCCTGTAAATGGTTTCAAACTATTTTATTTGTTTTTGAAGGGATTCTCAAAATGTACTGTTTTATGTTTTTTTTTTTTTTCAGATAAAAAACAAATGCAGCCAAGTTGTTCAAACAGTTTAAAAGAAAACAGAATTGCTATGGCTTTTACATGATTGAGCAGCATTTTATACAGAAACAATAAATAGATATAATGTATGTGAAAAGCGGTAATTAAGATGTGAATATTCCTAAAATCTGCACTTTTATTTTATTTTTTTGTTAGATTCTCTTCTTAGCTGAGATAAATTTATTTTCAACTTCTATTTGTCACTTAGTCTTGAACTTTATTTGTCTGGACTTCTCTCTGTTTTTTCTCTCCTCTGGGTTTCCAGATGTGTGACGATGTTGCTGCTCAAGTGCTGGGGAAGCCTGTGTTTGTCAACTGGCCCCATCTAGAGGAAGCTCGCATCATTGCCGTTTCAGATGGAGAAACCAAGTAAGAAAAGATTAATTAGATGGGAAGGTAATAAGAATTTGAAAAAAAAAAAAAGGTTGAGTCTCTGTGTGTGTGAACATCAGTCATCAATCATTCTAGATGTGGGTTTTAAAATATCACAAAAATTAGAAGTCGTCGTATGAATCACCAGTTTGTTTTGCCAGCCTAAACTTTTTAACCCTTCTTTTTAGATTCGCTCTAGATGAACCTCCAGGAGTCCAGCGAGTGTATGACAGGCCGTCTACACCTCCTCCCACTAAAGTCTCCTTTTTGACTGACAAGGAGCAAAAAGAATGGGTGAAAGAAGTCCAGGGGATCACCGAACAGTAAGATGCACTAAAGAAAAACACTATTAATACAAGTACTATATTTGTAAGCAAGTATATGTTGTTTATAAGACATGAAAGTCAGATTTCTTTTTAATGGTTTGGATTCTTTTTAAGCATTCCTTTTTTTGATTTTCTCAGTTTCTTGAAGAGAAAAGGCATCGTCGTGAATGAGACGGACGTGCTTTTGTACGGCCAGATGCTGACAGGAAGAAAATACATTCCTAAAGCAAACGGAGTGGTGGAACTGGAGAAACAGTGGGCCAAACAGATTCTCCCTTTTGCATATCAGACTGTGGTGAAGGTGCGAGTTCTCATCTACATTAAGAGAGCACACAGAAAAGTCCTGAAGGCATTGCTGCCTCTATCAGCTGTCCCTATCATARCATCAGCATCTCCTGATTTTTTTCAAAATTATTTTCTTTAGGACATCAAGGCTTTCTACTCATCTCTGACCTGCTTCAGTAGCCTGGACGAGCTCTTTCCTCCAACAACCACCGTCTTCATGGTGGGAACGCCGTACTACGGTTCTATGGGAGAGGTGCGTGATCTGCTGCTTTGCTTGTCAAAGAATGCTGACTTTCAAATATGTGATTATGTGCTTTTATAAAATTCACTTAAACTTTGACATTTGCCAAACATGCCAAGGTAAGTCCCCTAAAGGGGAATTAAGTTGATGAGCCTAGGGCTGAGTGATAAAACAAAAACAATATTTGTGATAGATATGTGATCAGTATCAGTAGAAAATGTCAGACAGGATGTTGATCATTTCATGGAACTCCAACACAGAACCGCACGGCATTCTGGGGGATTTTGGCAGAGGAAAGGTTTTAGCTGCTTGACTTCTTACAGCCCAGTTAAGCATGGCTGGCATCAACCAACTCTTTGGTAAGCTAGCAACGGCCTGTTGAGTAACGTGCAGCAGCAGTTTCCTGTTTCACCACCGTGCCTCGTAACTGATTCAAAATAAAGAACGACAAGGAGTGAAARCTCGAGAGGAAATTGTAGATAAAAGAGGAAAAGTCACAGCACCAGTACTAATTCCTGGTCCTTATTTCAGATAGGTAAAATAAAAAAAAATTAATAATTATCTATATGGACTGATATGAAACACTTAGATAGTGATACATTTTTAAGCTTTAAGAATTAGTTTAGTTTTTAGTAAAATTAATAACGGTTCTTATTAACTTTTTTGTTACAGGTTCAAGATTCTCAAGATGTGATTAATGACGGTCGGATCAGAGTGGTGTTCAGTGTGCCTCACGAGCCGCAAATGGAGCACCTAATTCAGAATCAACACGTAAGACACTCTCGTAAAGACATTCTGTAGACATGTTTCATCTTTAGATCCGTCATCCATCCTCTCTGTCTCGCTGGCTTTTACAGAAATACTCTGTCAAGTACTGTCCCGGCTACGTTCTGGCTTCCCGTCTGGGCATCAACAGCTATCTTGTTTCTCGCTTCTCAGGCAGCATCTTCATTGGCAGAGGCTCCAAAAGGAAGTACGTCTGGTGCTGTTTATTTATTAAAAATAAATGCTGAATATTTTTTTTTCTAATCCAAAATTTGTTTTTCTGCATTTTATCAAGTCCCTGTGGGGAGCAAAGGACAAATGTTGGGCTGAACCTGAAGTTCAACAAGAAGAATGAGGAAGTTCCTGGGTACACCAAGAGAACAGAGAAAGAGTGGCATTACTCTGCTGCTGTCGAGGAGCTGCTCGCTGAGTACCTGGACAGGTAACCTGACACTTCTTTTCTCTTTATCCACCATGAAAAGGCTGACGAGTTACAGCTTTGTGTTTTCAAACATATTTTTTTATTCATATTTTTATTCATAATTGTCTAGATCAGGGATGAGCAGCTGAAATGATGGAAGGGGCCACAATTTTTTGTTACCACTAGAGAGCCATATAGTGTTGCACACTTACCCAAATGTGGGGGGAGGGCTAATTAACGGGCCAGATGGAAGTCACCCATGAGTCGAATACGGCTCGCAGGCCACCAGTTGCCCATCCCTGTTGATGTCTAAATGTATGAAAAAGTTACCATAAAGGAACACAAACGATGTCACTGTTGTTGTTTTTGTTTGTTTGTTTTTATTAGGTTTTCTGAAGTATTTGACGCAGTGTCCAGAAACTCTCATGATGATGTTTTTTATGAAGATGACATCTGGCCTGGAGAGGACCAGAATGGGTAAGACCAACAAAAACGTTTTAGATGCATTTTGGCCAGAACACTTGTCTTTTATTGTCGAGAGTAGGGGTGTCCCGATACAACTTTTTCACTTCAGATACGATACCGATATTGACCCGATACCAAATCAGAACGAATCACACACTTTTACCTATTTTGTAGTGTGAAATTTAAAAAAAGTCTTGATCAAGTCAAACGGTGAAAAAGAGTAGGTATGAGAAAAACTGACCTCATTTATACTGATTGAACATTTATTTTTAACCAATGGGTCACATACATTTTAAACAGAAGAATATTCTACAATTTAATAAAATAAATTACAATACCCTGAAAAATAAAACATAATAAAAACAAAATGTATTTTTAAAGTGTAAAATAACAATTCAAAATCACTCCAGTTATTTTTTTTACTATCTGTCAGCCTGGTGCTGCTTTATGGTGGGGAAAACTGAAGGTGGGGACAAAACAAAACCGCACATTATTGTCTAATGTCCAACTGTTCAAAGTTAAGAGTCCACAGCTCCAATTTTACTGACTGTGCCCAAATCAGCGTGATCATTGCACTTAATCTTCACTAAAACAAGTGTGTAAACAGATTAAACATCACTCTAATAACAGGAGCAAAAATAGATAGTAAGAATTATTCAGTTAATTAAATTGATAACTACCTTTCTTACTGCTACATTTCCACTTTCTACAGTATGAGTATCATGTGGAGATTAGCCTCTCACTGTCCTACTCATGCAGGAAGCAGTTTTTATCACAGCTTTCACCATGTCGCTGTATCACGCTGCACGCTCATATTCCAAAACARAAGCTGCGCTCTCCTTTCTTCTGTCCGTCAATCCCAGAGCTAATCCACGGGCAGCATTCTGCTGATGTTAAAACCGTAAGCGTGCTGTACTCACTTCTGCCTGCTGAGAACCACCAGAAAGGAGGTTCTGAAACAGCGCGGTTGGAAATAGAGACACACTGGACCGAGGCTAAACCACATGGCTGCTGCCAGCGTGGAGAGCAGAGCCTGGTTGTCTCTCCGGTTTAAAACGTACACGGTTCTGTGCCCCCACGGAAAACTTGTGCGTGACAACTTTGCACTTAGCTTCAACTCTGTTTTTKATGAAAATAGAAAGTTCTGCCGACATCACTCCTASTTCTTGCTAACTTGTTAGCGTAGCATGTTGTTGTGATCACGTGGACTCTGCACGCTGGATCCAAGCGCTGCTGGATAGAAATGCTGGAGCGGACTGGTGGAACGGACTGCTTCTATCAGAGTGCTTATTTATCAGAGATTTTAGATGCAGGCCGATTAAATCCGATAACTGTTTTTTGGCTGATATCGGATTGATATCTGATATCAATATTGGATCGGGACACCCGTAGTCGAGAGATTGTTGAACTGTCTTTTATTCTTGACCCCCTCCACTTATTTATCCTAGAGATAAATATATTTTGCATGAGTCCACCCTGGTTTGGATGTATTTGTATAAAAATCTCTTGAAATACATAGAATGTAGCTTACATTGCTGAATTTTTCCGATTGGTCATAAACTCTCAGCATTTTATTCTCATCTTTCTCTCTCGGTCACGGTTACTCTCCACTGTAGCTCACAAACTCTGTTCACTTTAAGCTGCAAGACAGCATTCAATCTCCAATATTTTGTCATCTGAGAAGAAATAACACACACACATATACACGTTGGACATATGAAAAATTGAGGAGAAGAAGCAGGGATTGTGATACCATTCAGTAAAATGAAGCAATAAAATGTCTAGTGTTGAATGCATGACTGCATTTCTTTGAATAGAACTGTCTACTAAACTGATAAAGTAAACTCATTTACACACATACATGAAGCCTTCCCTAATGCTTGCAGTTGAATATAAAGCAAAGAGTTGTGCTGAACTGAACCATGCCACGCTGTGCTGTGTAACAGAGAGTCGCACTTAAAATGCTTAAGATTGTGCTAACAAAAAATTGCATTTATAATAGTTTTTTTTAAAGGTAATAATAAATTTATGATCAAACTTCCGTGTTATTTGTCCACCCCACAGGGCAGAGAAGGTAGCTGAAATCACCTCATGGTTGAAAAGTCACCCAGTCAGCTCCATCAGCAGGGCATCATGCGACCTCCAGGTGCTGGATGCCGCCATCGTGGAGAAGATCGAGGAAGCAGTGGAGAGGTCCAAGGTGACTCAGATGGTTGCACTTTCCTTCTGCACRCCACCATCATGAATCCACCGTGCGTGTTCTCACCGAATCTGTCTCACTGTGCTTTACCCTCAGGTGAAGAAGGGCACCAAGAAAGTCCGTGTGACTGTGAAGCCTCATCTCCTTTTCAGGGTTTGTACAGATTCTTTTACTGTGTAGAAACTCCTGTTGTAATATAACAACAAATGCCAGAACGTGTGAGCAGAAGTATTAACGGGTGGGTTTGTGTGCAGCCCCTGGAGCAGCAGCAGGGCGTGGTTGCAGACCCCAACGCAGAGTATCGTCTGTTTGACAGAGTCGTCAACATCAGGGAGAGTTTCACTGTCCCGCTGGGACTCAGAGGGACAATCATCGGCATCAAAGGAGGTGAGAAGTTTCAATTCTGTTTTTAATACTGTCCAAAAAGAAACGTTTTGAATTAGAGGGCATTTTAAGTGTAATATTTAACAGAAAAAGTTAATTTAATYGAATGTCTGTGTCTTCAGCGGAGCGTGAGGCAGAAGTTCTCTATGAAGTGCTGTTTGATGAAGAGTTTGCTGGAGGTCTAAACATCAGGTACCAGATGCTGGCAAGCCACCTCATTACATCATTTTAATCATCTGTTCCAGTGAAAATTGTATATATAAAATGTCTACCAACTAGATTCTGCATTTCCCTTAAATGACCAAGAATTGAAATGTGTGTTTAAATATGCTGGTTGTCAACATTATTTAACAGCAACTGGCCATTTTAAACCATTTAAAAAGCAGAAAAATAAGAAAGGAACCATGATCTCATGCTCCTACACGCATGGTTGGTCTCAGTAATGTCTGTAAGCGGACCTTTGCTTTGGACCATCAAAGAGTCTGTGGTACAGTATCACCAGGTTTCTTCTCCCCCCTAAGCAAACAGGAAGAAATGTTTCTAATTTAAATCCTGACCTTACACCAGAGTTTTGTTTTTAAAAACAAAGTGGCTTACACATCACTGCTGCCACATGATTGTGAGAAAAGTAAAACTTTCTGGTTCTACACCAGACCGATTTCAGTCTGTGTTTAGAACCGTCCAAACACGTGGGCTGTTTGTTCCTCCAGGTGCGYGTCTCCTCGTGGTTACCGCGTCCCGCCCTGCGCTCTCATCAACCTTTCCCACGGAACTCGGATCGATAACACTTCCCACAAACTCACCGCCATCGTCAAGCCCCAGCCCGCCGCCAGCGTCGGCTTCAACTCCCACCGTCAGCTGGCAGGCCTCAACCACTCGCCTCGCTCACCGTTCATACCCACGCAAGTAAGAGAAAAGATGATGCCGACAAACACTGTAGGCAAAAGGTTTTCATTCGTATACCTTCTCTTCTCACCGCTCCTCCTCCTCCTCACTCTTGTATTTGTAGCACAACAACAAGCATGTCGGGATGAAGGCTGCATCACAGGGCAACAGGAACTCTCCCCCTAAAGTTCCCAACCAGAAACAACAACAAACAAAGGTACGTTTGTGATTACTACTTGACCATTGTTCATCTCAGGTTAGTAAACTGGTTGTAATACTTTGTTTTTATGTAGACTAAAGAGGAGTACAGTAATGTGTGGCAGTCTCTACAGAAGACAGGTGCTCCTAACAAACCTCCTGCTCTGTGGCACAATAGTGTAAGTATGTTCAAGAGTTTGGTCAGCAGCAGGATTTCGGAGACATTATAGGGTGCTGACTTGATTATTTTTGATGTTGTTGTTGGTTGTAGTAAAAATATAAAAATGAATATTTTTATTTTTATTCTAGGAAGGAAATTTCCAACAGGGCAGCAAAGAAGTGAGTACACACAGACTTTTGTTTATGCTCTTTTTTTATCAGCAGTTTCCCATCTGAGTTGGGAATGAATATGAATATTCGTCTTTCAGCTATAGGGAAGAGTTTTGAGTTTTAACTTATTGGTGTGGGCTTTCATCACTCTGGGCCTGAGAGATGTTGGGTTGGTGAACAGAGAGTGTTCTGAATGAGTGGGGTTGTTCAGGACCTTTGTGGCGCTTTGACGCATGTGTAGACGACCCGAGTAGATCTGAGCCCTCTTAATGACCCTCTGTGGTGCAGCTGCCACACYGTACATCCATACATCAGGACACACTCTGTGGTGCAATCGTAGAAGTTCCTCAATAGAGGTGGAGGATGTTTGTTTTTTCTTAGTGCTCTCAGGAAGAAGCTATGCTTCTGGGCTTTTTAAAGATGTGAGGGGTGTTAACAGTCCAGCCAAGGTTTTCAGAGATGTGTACACTGAAGCACCTAAAATCCTGTGTTGTACAAAGTACGTCAAAGTGAGTTTCCTTGAATTCAATGACTTCTGAAAGTCACTAGCTGCTTTTTCCATTGCAAATGTGCGCAAAACTTTGTCCATATTCTGTTAATGTCGAAAAACACAGTTTCGCCATTGCGGTGTTTCCATTAAGTGAGAAATGCTATTAAAGTCATGCGTTAATACGTTTGTTCTCGCGATAAGTCATTACAAACATGGCGGCAATGGATGCACATGGATACCATGACACTAATGCTTATCATCAGYCATCAGAGGAGATGTCGGTGTCTTAACGAGGCTTTCGAGCGACAAGCCCCTTATACTTGGGAGCAGCTACGTATGCAGTGTTTTTGGGAAATTGTAGTCGGTGAGTTTACTACGTTCATTTACAACTTTAGTGATTTTACTGCTACTTTTGCTTCCTGTTGTCTTCTTCTTTGTCATCTTTTTCACCAGTAGAAACAGTCGGTTGTTGGTCTTGTGACTCCCATGATGCAAAAAAAAGTGTTTCTATGGCAGTTTTGCAAAATATATCAATTTGGATTTGACCGAAAAACCACCTTATCCTAGCGCAAAACCATTTTGTCAAAAAACGTACGTTTTTTCGAAACTGATGTGTTTCCAGTGAGCAAACTTATTTTCAAAATTCTAATTTGCGCATTTTCATGGTGAATGGAAACACAGCTATTGATGGTTTATTTTGCCCTTTTGGTGTTGAGGTGGTTGTCACTGGATCAAGCTGCCAGTGTCTGAACCTCCTTTCTGTTTGCAACCGCATCGTTGTTGCTGATCATCTCGATGACTGTTGTATCGTCAGCAAATTTGATAACTATTTTGAAGTTGTTGATGGCAACGCAGTAATGGATATAAGCATGAACAAGATTGGGCTCAGAACACAACCCTGGGGGACACCAGTGTTTAGAATGGTAGTGAAAGTTCCAAAATGTAATGCCTGTAGTCTGTTGATCAGTTGGTTTGGACTGATAAAATTAAACGCTGAAATGAAACAGCATCCTGATGTAAGTGCAGGGGTTTTCCAAGTGTCTGAGAGCGGTGTGAAGGGTGATGGAGAATGTATCGTCTGTAGATCTGATGGACCTGTAGGTGAACTACGTTGGTCAAGGCCCTGGGGTGTCTTGGCAGTGATGTGTTGCAGTGCCAGTCTCTTCATACATTTCATACTGTGACTTYCCTACAGCAAGCAGTTGAATTCATGAATTTAAAGAGATTTAGACTTTCATGAGGGTGTGTTAGGATGTTTATAACGTTATACATGTGTATTCACACATAGGGAAAAACTCTTAGCTAAGAGTCAATTTTTTTTTTTTTGCAGACCCAGGTTGGAGTCATCAGGTTATTGAAGAAAAATGAAGATGTCAACTCCTTTCTCCCCACACAGAGYGCTTCTAATAAGGTACAAAAAAAAAAACCTTCAAACATGCTTGTTACTGAACATTTTGTTTTCTTTTTGTTTTCACCTGGCAGAATTTTAGATTGTAAACAATTGGCTGTCATCCTACTTCATTGCTTTTATATTTTACTATGTTAGGGTACAACTGAATTTGAAGACCTCATCGCAAGTTTAAAGATATCCAAGGAAAGCCAGCAAACCTTGCCACCACCTGCACCCCCACAGGAACCGAACAGCCAGACAGATGGTCCGCTGTCACCGCAGTCCTTTGCTATGGTGAGTGAGATTTGTTGGATTTGCCTCAAATACTGCCTGACATAAAAAAAACCTCTGAGGCTGAATGATGTGCGATATTTGTGTTGTAGAAAGGAACCATGGTGCTGAAGGAGATGCTTAAGATCGACAGCACAGGGTCTCCATCAGAGTCGACAAACACTGCCCCCTCTGCTGGCCAGCAGCAGAGCAGAAGACGATCGTCCAAGAAACTCGGTACCCGGCACGCCTCGTTTACAAACCAGCACCGTTTTATTTGTGCCATCTAGCCTTTTTTTTTTATCACACGTTGTCTCTTTTAGCTGCCCAGATGAGTGAGCCTCACGATGAAGCGGTTCTAACAGCCTCTCCAGCACCAGCTGCCAACTCTGCTCTGACCAGTAAAGTGTCGGAGCTGGCCCGTGTGTGTGTGGGGCTGGGGATGACACCTCCCGATTTTAGCTTCATGCGCAACAGACAGGTAGGACCGTTTCCAGTCATTGTCCTGTAGTTGCTCTCTGTTCAACAGCTGCAACATGATTTTATATTTTGCAACAACCTGTCCTCTCAGGGTCTGGTGGTGTGTCAGGTGAAGCTGTCCAATGGGTTGATGGTTCATGGTCCACAGTGCCAGTCAGAAAGTGATGCCAAGGAGAAAGCTGCTTTCTTTGCACTACAAAGACTGGTATATACGTTTCTTATAAACATCTTTGTTTTTATTGCATTACGTAATTTTACATATAAATAAAAGTTACATTTTGGTCTGAATTTCACAACTGTCAAACTGTTAACCATCTGTTTTTAGCAARAGGATACAAACAACCTAATATTAGCTTTAAAGTTGGTTTTAAACACTTTTTGTATACGGCGAACTTGCAAATCAAACTTGGGGAAAAAATAATAGTTGTAGTTTTACTAATCCACCCCCCCATTTGTTCTGTTTTATATGTAGACAACACTGGGGTCTGGATTCCCCCTCCCACCTCCGCTGTACACAGGAGTGTCTCAGATACGACCCCCACCTTTAGGAGCCTTGACGCCTGTTTTCAACCACCAAGGTCAGTCTGCTGCTGTTGGAGGCTGAAACTCTGTAATAACTTGATACGAGGTGGAAACCTAGCAGAACGTAGTAGTTTGTACTTTTCACACAAGMTTTAGGTACACAGGAATTATTGTGYAGAGAGAATGCATACTAAACTTTTATCTTTTAGATTTTTTATTTWTTTAGATTTTATTAGCCTTTATTGTCCCGCAGAGAGGAAATTAATTATCTGCATTTTACCCATCRCACATGTGAACACACATRTGAACACACATATGGACACACATGTGGACAGCACCCGGGGAGCAGCTGAGGGGGGCTTTGTTCAAGGGCCCAAAGTGGGRCTGGTTGGTCTGGGGTAGTTGAACCGACGACCTTCCGATCACAGACTCATCTTCTGTAACCTCTGCGCCACCACTCCTACTTATAGCTTGTACATTTTGCTTTTGTCTAAAAATCAAAACTAATACGTAGAAGACTTAAAGGGCCTGTGACATGCTTGTCCTTCAAATACAAAAAGTCAAAGAAAACATATTTATATTTAAGAAAATTAGCATAATATACATGATTTTACTCATTTTGTCTTATAACTGGCATATTTTCCTCTTGKATTTGACTCAGCAAAGTGAAACAGGAAGTGACATCAAAGGGGAATGCTTTAAGAAAAGAAACTCTCTAGTCTTTCTTTGTTGAAACCATGTTATTTAAAGGGATCCCTGATTAGTTGTAACATTAGACTTTATTTGATAAACATATATTTTATCTAAAATAAAGACTGTAAATATATTTCAACACGGACGGAGCCATTTTATTTACACGCAAAGCATTCTGGGTAAATGATGACGTGGATAGGTCATCGGTGTGAGGCTGCTAGCGAGCTGTATCCACCCTGAAGGTTAATCTTGGACAATATCTGATGATCAACTCTTTTAAATGAAACCGGAGAGCGTTGACAGAGAGGAGAAGGCAGAAACGATACAGTCTACAACTGAAAATGTGGATGGAGTACTATTATGAAGGATTATTACAAAAAATTGATGTCACAGACACTTTAAGTTTTTCAGTTTTTATTATGTCCAATTCATGTGTTATCCTCCCTAGGTGGTATTTTGCTGCCCCCCCAGGGATTTGCTCCACCATCTCTTTGGGGAATGACCCTGCCTCCCCAGCACCACCCGAACCAGCCGTTCTACGGAGCCGCAGGAACCTTCCCCGGCGCTGCCCGCCCACAGCCCGCAACCAGCCTGCCTATTGGCTCGCACAACCAGTTCATCCCGTTACAGGTGACCTTACTGCGCATGAATGTAAGCGTTAGTTGGCCATGTAGTGTTTTTTATTTTGCGCTACATAAATTCTCCACTTCTCCTCCGACACTTCAGGTGACTAAAAAGCGAGTGTCGGCCAACAAAAAGCACCAGGACACTCAGGAGTTTTACAACGCGGCCGAAACCGTTGCCAAAAGCCAGTCCCAGAAAACCCAGAGACAGAACTCCGGCGCGTCGCAAGTTCACAGCGAACCGCAAAATGTCATCTTCAACCAGCCGCACCACCAGGAGCCCAGCAACGGTCCCTGCTCGTCCAGTCCCAGTCTGCCGGACGGCGTCGCCACTGCGACAGCTCACACACCGCCTCGACAAAGCAAGCCTGCAGCTGGCCACGCCCCTGGCTCCGCCTCCAAGAGGAAGCACAGAAAGCTGGCTGTTAATTTTGAGGCGGCTAAAGTGTCACAGTGAGCTGCGTGTGTGTGTGTGTGAGAACAGAAGTGTGTGACATTTTGATGCTGCTTTTCTTTTAGTTSGACCCAGACTGTGATTAAAACCTCGTCAGTGTTTCTGAGCAGAGAGCAGGCGAGTCAACAGAACCGGAATTTCTTTTTCTTTTTTTTTTTTTAGCTAAACAACAAAAATATCTTTTCCTACCATCTGCCTTTAACACATGGAGAGCACGGGCCTTCCTGTATTTCACTGTCTGAGAAGTGCTGCTTTTCCTCTGAGGTGATTTAGGAAGCTAAGATATGTCTGTTGATGGTTTAAAAAGCGAGGTGCATTCTGGGAGGCATGTTTTTCATTAACTCTTAGGTCGTATTGAAGACTTACTCCTCTTGATTAAAGTCCTTCTAATTTAAACATCATGTATAGTTCACCTGATGGAGAGAAATATTACCAAAAAAAAAAACAAATATTTAATTGTTACCTAGATGTTATTTTTTATCAGTTTTGATAATTTTGTTCTTATCGAGTTAATGCTGAGGTTCATGAACACACAAACAAATTTACTCCAAATATCTAGAAGGGTAGAAATCACAAAAACAAATGCCCTTTTTATTAAATCTGTTTGGTAATTTCCTGTTTAATAGTCTGTTTAATTTAGTTTTAAGTCTATAAAACAGAAGAGAATAAAAATACCTTTTAAAATTTGGCAACATTTATTAAAATCTCTGTTCATTAGCTCGTGTATTTAATTTATCTAATATAAAGAAATAAAATTAAAATGAAGAAGGAAATGTTTATAAAAGCACAACCTGTCATCAATCTGATTCAGTGCTGCTGGGAGGTACTTTGATAAAAACAGCTGTATTAGTTTGATGTAATGATACCGGTATAAACCACTCTTTTCATTACATTGATGGAAAAAATTGTTTCCCTGGAGGAGCTGACCCAAAACCGAAAAACGTTATTATTATTATTATTTAATTTTTTTTGTCATTAAGGTAATCATTGTTTAGAAAAGATCCAGTAAAAATGCATTTTAGCCAGCTTGTTAGGAGCAGAGTGAAGTTTTGGTTCTTGCAAGGGACTAAAACATGCACGTCTCAGATGCATCAAGTATTTTTCTTTTCTTTCGGCTGGACAAATAATTATGTGCAGCAATTTGTCTCCACTAACTGTCCTGACTCTGAACACCACGGAAAGATTTAATATCCAGCCAGAAACTCTTACTTCAGTTAATCATTCGAACATTTGCCTTCTGTTCTGACTGCGTTCCTCCAGTTTAAAAGAAAAGCTGTCAAAACTGAGTTGATGTTTGTCCTTCAGACGTTGGCCATGACTTCCAGCATTTTTAAACTTGTTATAGTTTACCAGCACTGCCATATTATTAAATAGATGATGAGGAGAAAGACATTGTTGACGAAAAGGACCTGATGGAAATGGCACATTTGTAACGAAGCAGTAAAGCGATCTGTTTAGTTGTAACTTCCTGCTCTGTTTGGACCCACAGGAATGATTTCACTGCTGTCTTTAGTTTCCCCAAAGCCTTGTTTTATTAAACGCTGGTCCTGCAGCTAAGAAGGAATAATTTATTTAATTGAATGATCTTTGAGATCTTTAAATATCTTCTTTCTTTTTTTTAATCCCACAGTTTTGTACTAAAAACCTGCAACCTGGAACTTTAGCTTGGTTTTAATAATTGAGGCAGTTTCTACTCTCTGCAGGACCTGGAGTATGATGGGGACATGATTGGACGTTATGCAACTTATTTTGTTAAAGAAGAAATGAAATACAAATTAGGATTTTATGGATTGTTGAACAGTGATTGTACGTTCTGTTTGCTGAAGGTTTTAATTTCACTAATTCTTAGGTTTATATAAACCCTAAGAGTCTGACAGCTCATCAGTCCTGGGCTCCTACAGGCCCAGTTTCAAGTCGTCGCTGAATCTGTGTWAAATCTACCGTAATAATGAAACATTTCAGTTTTGTATGATGTTTTTTTTTTAGATGCTATTAAAAGCATTTACCAGATCATCGTTGCTCCTCGAAAGCTTTTTAAATTCTTTTAGTTTCCATTTTTACATCAAGACTCGATCTCTCACACACACATAAACAAACCTACACACAAAAATTTCCATTCAAAAAAAAAATTTTTTTTTCCCAAGCCATAAATTTTTATCAGTACTTTGAATAATTTTCTGTCATGAAACTTGTGAGTAAAACAGGTGAARAAACATATTAACTTTGGACATAGTTGTGCATGTTTTTTTTTTTTTGTTTGTTTTATGCGGAGGGGTTGGGGGTGTTATAAGTTGAAATTCCAACAGCAACTCTTAAGATCGAAGGCATTATGTCTGTGGTGCAATAAGGGGAAGTTTTAAAGTCTTGAAAATGAAAGCACACTTCTTGTAAATGTGTTGTTGTTTTTCTTTCCGGATTTGAAACTAAATATTAATTCTCATGRTAAGAATATAATGCCTTGATTTCAGAATTTGCTGTACATATCCATTTAATAAACGCTTTCTTTTGTTAAACTGTCTGCTTCTCCTCGTTTTTTTTTCAGTGTTTTATTTTTATTTTTGGGTACTTTTAGGACTCTAAAAGGCAGTTTGTGAGATGTGTTCAGTTGGGTCTTTTTATAGGATTGAGCTGCATTTTTCATACTAAAGACCAACCAAGGAGTTTGACACATTAATCAAAATGTTTAATGATATATTTGTCTAAACAAGAGGAAACAGATGAATCTACTTGTTGAATCTAATCCTACTTGTTATTTTTTTAAGCAAATGATTGTTTTCAAGGATTTCAGCCAAAGGTTTTGGGTGACAAATGAACAGATCAAACCTGTCAAAGACATAAGCCTAACAGCTTATTCATCATTTAAAGAAGTTTGGATCATTTTACCAGTCTTTTATTTTTTTTATCCTGAGTTTGCTCCTAACCCTTTTTTGTGGCTGGGAGGAGCCAGCTGATCCTGATCCTGGCTGATGAGCTGCTGTTGTTTCAGCTCTTCTGCCTGAATCTGCAATGAAGTTTTCTGGAGTCGGAAGTTGATTGGAGAGATGAAGTGATTTCATGAGTGATGTCATTACTCTGTTGACCCGCTGCAGAAAGGGAGACAAGTTTTTGCCTGTTTGTCACTAAAAGAGCTCTTGAATTTTAATCAAAAGTAATTTTTTTTTCTCATCTAACATTTAGAGTCAAGATGGCCACCACAACTAACTACAGTATAACCTCAAAATAGATAAATCACAAAAATCACTATAACTCAGTTGATTATGCAGATATTGACCTAAAGTTTTTTTCTTAGTGGCTGACACTGAGCTCCAAAGTACATTCTGAAAGCAAACAGTTCAACATCTTTGCTCTAAAAAATGTACCAATAACGAAAAACGTTTRTGTCTGTGGACAAAATCTGTCATGAACCCATGGACAGGTTTTAACAGAACTTTCAGAAAATAATCAGTGGATCTACAACTGAAATACCTTTGAAGTCCCAGACTCAAAACTATTTTCCAGCCATGTGGAGATAATTTTACTAAATTCTCAGGGTTAGTAAAACAAGATAAAAATCTGTATTTTATGAAAGAACATTGAAAACTAGACTTTAATATAAGAAACTTTATCTAAGATCATATAACTAACATTATCATTAGTTTTTTTTTATTTACACATTAAGCACAAGTAGTTAGTCTTGACTGCATTCTATAAACTCATGTAGTGAAATAAGCAGGCTGAGAACTGAACAAGTTACCTATGGAGAG